AATGTTTGCAAATCATATATCTGTTAAGCGAGTAGAGTCTAATACATGAATTCTTAATAAAAACATAAATTCCTCAATTTAAAAATGGGCAAAGGATTCAAATAGACATTTTTAAAAATTTTTTTTTTTTTTTTAGAGGGCAGTGTCACCGGCCCTCATATGTGGGATCCGAACTGGGGCCCTCTGGCGTCCCAAGCCAGCTCTTAACCATCGCACCACTCAGCCGGCCCTCAAATAGACATTTTTTAAAAGAAGATATCTAAGTGGTCAATAAGCACATGAAAAGGTGCTCAACATAACTAGTTGTTAGGGAATTGCAAATCGAAACCACAGTGAGCTACCACTAAGATGACTATAAAATAAAAAAAGTGGACAATAACAAGTGTTGGTAAGGATGTGGAGAAATTGGACCCTCTTACACTGTTGGTGGGAATATAAAATGGTACAACCATTTTGGAAAACAGTTTGGCAGTCCTTATAAAAGTTAAACAGAGTTACCATGTGACTGAGCAGTTCCACTCCTAGGTATATATCCAAGAGAACTGAAAATATATGTCCATACAAAAACTTGTACATGAATGTTCAGAGCAGCAGCATTCATAATAGCCAAAAAGGGGAAACAACCCAAGTGTCTATCAGTTGATGACTGGATAAACAAAATGTGGTCTGTCTATACAATGGAATATTATTCAGCCATTAGAAAAAATGAAGTACCAATACATGCTACAACATGGAAGACTTTGAAACTGTTGTGCTAAGTGAAAGCCAGGTACAAAAGGTTGTGTGATACTGTATGATCCCATTTATATGAAATGTCCAGAATAGGCAAATCTTGTAGAGACCGAAAACGTGGGTTAGTTGTAAGGGCCTGGGGGGGAAAGGGAGAAATATAGAGTGATTGCTAATGGGTACATGGCTTCTATTAGGATGATGAAAATATTCTAGAATTAGATAATGGTGATTGTTGCACAACCTGGTGAATATTCTAAAAACCACTGATTTATTTATACACTATAACAATTGTTTTTGGCTTATTCTGCCTTTTCCAGTATTCTTGCCTAATGAAGATCCCGAGCCATGTGATTCCATTTCACTTTACTAGGTCTTGGTGGGAGGTAAAGGGTATCTCTGTGACAAGTCTGTAAGCGGGCGAGGGTACAGTCATGGCTGTAACATTTTACAAGCTTGATTGACAAAACATTTCTACTTCTTTACAGAATAATTGCTCTCAGACTTCTGGTCACTTAAGGCCCCTTTATTATTATTGGCCTTAATTCCCTGTGGTGTTTGTGTGTTGTATCGTTGCAGTGCCGATGGGGAAGTGAAGCACTGTGTGATCTACAGCACTGCTCGGGGCTATGGCTTTGCGGAGCCCTACAACCTGTACAGCTCACTGAAGGAGCTGGTGCTCCATTACCAGCAGACATCTCTCGTTCAGCACAACGACTCCCTCAACGTCAGGCTTGCCTACCCAGTCCACGCACAGATGCCCTCGCTCTGCAGATAAAGAGGGAGTGGGAAGAGAGGTGGCTCTCTAGCATTTTTTTCTACAGTTTTTATTAGACTACGAGGGCATTCTTTCTATGTAGACTGCTCGTTTTGCACAAGAAGTGATTCTGTGAATGTGAAGTGGAGAGGCTGAGCAGCAGTCAGCCAGGATGGGGCATAAGGGGCCTGAGGTTCTCTGTGCCTCAGCTGGACCGCTGCACTGACACAGGAAGCTGGAAGCAGATGTTGTTTTTTTGGAAGTCTGTTTCATTGGGGTTTTGTGTAGCCAGGCACCCTCAGAAGAACACATTAGGCTTCGACTCTGAGAAGTCGGCAGGGGCATGGCTCTGTGGGAAGTTTTTTTTATCTGGCAGTCTCTCTTAACTTCCTCCAAAAGAAAAGGCTGTTTTGGTTCTGTGGTAGAATGTCATTTGGTGAAAAAGACAACCAAAGGAAAATGGGGAGGCTTGGGATTTTATTTACGGACTCAAGTCAAGTGGGTAAAAATCCTTCAACTGAAGGCGCCGTATTTCTTAACCAACATAACTTAGGCATCAGCATCTCATAGCCCCTCCCTCTAAAGAAGCATTATTTAGAAACCAAACTGATCCCAGCAAAACAATGTTTGTTGCCAGACTGAGATCTGATGGACAAAGGTGGCACTAGTGTCTGAATGCACACTTCTGTACCAAAACTTGAATCTAAAAGGAAAACTAGAATTTGTTAGTATTAGCAAATACTAAAATTGGTCAGTGTAACTCCTTCTGCCCTGCCCTCATTTCTCAGAGGTGAGAGTAGTGTTCTTTTTGTGGGCATGGTGAGTTTTGAATCATAAAATGAAGTTGGTGCTTGTGTGGTGTTTCCTTAGCCTAAAGAATGACCTGTTGTTTGAAACCTTTGTAACTTGTTTGTATGAGTAAAGAAAAGGTGCAATCCAGTGCTTTTAGATGGCTTGATATACCAAATAATGATATAGAACAAAATTATTATATGTGCTTCCCCAAGTTTAAAGGCCCTGCAGAAACTGAACATGGTTTAATTACTCTTCATCCTCTGTCCTTTGCTGGATAGGGCTTAGGGGAGTCAAACATAGGTTGCTAAGGCTGTAGCAGGAAGGGAGCCAGATTGTGGTCAGGGACCTCAGTAAATCACAGACCCAGAGGCTCTGGTGTCCAGAGCAAGGGTCACACCACATTACCCATGTACTTCCATACAGTGGTTTCTGAAACTTTTGCAAGGAGAGGAAAGGATGGTTTGGAGTTTATACTGTTCATAGAAACCATCTGGAAGCTTTTCTCTTTGCCTTTTTTGTGATCCTGCCATTAAGATGATGTGCACAGACTGTCTTGATTTCAGGCCAGGAATCTTCTGCTCCATGTGGTTTAAGCCTTCCAGCTGAGTGAAGCTAGGCCAGTGGCATTGGAGGCAGGCATCGCCTCCTCCCTCCATTATGTCCCACCCCCATCAGTCAACACTCATTTGACAAATAGAGTCCAGCTGCCTCTGAGCCAGTCCTGGAACCATAATAGGCTCAGAGTGAGTCAGCTGTTTGAGTCCAAAGCTGTGCAGCCAGGCATCCTGGCTGAGCTAGACAGGAAGCCAGTATCTGGGTCTTGATACACAAAGCTTACAGCTAGGAAAGTTCTGGTTTGGGGATGAAGGAAACAAATAGTGCTTTCCCCGAGCACTTATCTTGGTGACAGGGTCTAGAATGGACCATGACGTAGAAATAGACGTAGATGAAAAGTTTTGGAAAAACCTCCAGAGTTACTAACAGAGGATTGGAAGGAAAGGGCATATCTTTGACTTTTCCTTGGTTACACTGCAGTTTCAGGACTGGGTGAGGCAGACAAATGAACCCCCTTCCAGTGTCACTATTCTGACTTAAGCCCTTAACGAATAGCCAGCCAGCTGCACATCCCTTCCCCAAATTGCCGGATGGACATCTTGCTGAAAGTGTCACTGAGCAATGGCCGGCCAGTTGCTGCCAGGCACACCCCGATGGTCTTGCATTTGGTGTCAAACCTGTTTAAGCAGTTGGATGCTTGGGATTGGGTGCAAGGAATCCCTCCTTTCTGGTATGAAAATTTAATGTTCTGAATGTCTTAAATAAAAGTGGGACTAAGGATACACACCTGTAACGCTGACCTGTGTGTGGCTCCTTGTCAGGCAGACATTAAGGATGTGCTGGGAGAGAGCTAGCACTATTTGTTACCTACACTTGGGCTGGCTTGTGGAAAAGGGCTGCTCTTTTTTAGTTCTACATTCCTTCACTTTTTGTTTCCTGTTTTTCATTCTTGAATTTGTTGCTTTATGGGAACTAAGACATAGGGATCATTTGAGAAGTTGATAGGTATCCTTTCTGACTAGTTGCCACATGATTTGCTTGATCCTGAGTCAATAGAAATGGCTTAGGGAGTAGTCTGCTAACCACTTGTTGGGGGTAGTATGTTTCTGCCTTATTTCATGGTCTTGGCAGCAAGTCCTGGCCTCCTCCATCTGAGTCTAGTGCTATTGTCCTGTCCCATGATCTGGGCCCTGGGACTCTCTCTTGGCATCTTCACTGCAGCCTTACTGAGGCAGAGGGTAAAGAGGTAGAACAAGACCAGAGGGGCCCATTGTATTCCTGGCTATAGAAGCCACCTACCAGCATGAAAGCAGCTTGGGGCTGGCTGGACACAGGTCCTGGGCCCATCTTTTCCAGATGGAGCTTTCATCATAGAACAGTGCTGTCTCCACCTCGCCATACATGCTAAACCTTGGCCATGGCTCAGGCCTGTATAAGGTAGCAGTGCTCTTACCACTAATTTGGCCAAGGTTGAGAACTTCCTAATAACTTCCCTACCCCATCTCCTCTCCAAGCCCTGATGGGACTTCCCACTTATTTGGGGCTTCATGTGCTCTGAAGAAGCTTTTTTGAGAGCCAATGTGGTATCTTCCATGGGTCTCCTCGCTGCGAGGAACCAGCATCATGGGTCTTCTTGGGCCAGGAATGCATCTGGGCAAGTCCTGGTTTTCAAGGCAGTCTCTTTTGCCAGTTAAGCCTCCAGAGTCATCCTCTGTGAGGCTTCAGTGGCTTCAAAGCAGAGGGACGAGATAGGGGCCTGGCTGGGCCCTCTGCTACCAACTGCTCAGCCTTGCTCCAGCTCCAGCCACTTGTGACAAACAACCTTGTTTCCTTACAAATTACAGCATGTGACTTTGGTGCCCTGTTGTTACTTGTGAAAAACTTATTCTGTTGTCTTTGATGTAGTCAAAATTCATGTAGTTTACGTAAAAATATCTGATTCACAAGGAAGCCAACTATATGTCTTGTGTTGGGACAGTTCATAATGTAGTTCCTAGACCACTTTTGCAAATTGTTCTTGTCACCAGATGTGTTCAGACATTGCTGTGCAGTTGTGGGGGGGTGGGGGGAAGGTGAGGGGTGATCCTTTTTGGTCTTTTTGTTTTTTACCTTCCCCAAGAGGGGAGTCTGGCCAACTTGCTCCAATAATGCAATAAAGACATTGCAATAAAATACCTTTTTGTCCTTGTGCTGTGGAGGGGTGGGCTGGGGGCAGGGGGTGAGGTTGTTGAAAACCCCCAAAACTTTCAAATCTTCTCTCCCCTGAACACCAAAAGATTAGTTTTGGGCTGAACTGGGGCCATCAGAGGCTCTCTTCTATCCCTGAAGAAGAGGAAGTTGACTAACAGGTAGGGTGCCAGAATCCTGTCTACCCAACACAGGACACAGAGAGATTCAGAAACTATCCCTGAGAAAGTTAAATCTGAGAGCCGTTTCCTTTTCACCCCATTCCTGCTATTAGAAAGCCCAGTTGATTGATTCTCACTCATCACATCTTTCTGCCTAGAAATAAAAATGTTTCCACAGTCTATCCAGGGGGGCAGGAGAAATGGGTTTAGTCTTCCAGTCTGTCCCCTTGTTGCCCCAGGCCCTTGTCACCCTTCTGCCACAGCACTTCGTTGAGGTTCCTATGTGTTGGGAACATAATCAACAAAGAAATGACAACTTCTGCTTGCAGAACATTGCAGTTCTCATCCGTGTCTCTCAGGCCCCACCCAGGTATGTACTGAGTTATTAATACAAATCAGATCAGGTAGGGGAATAATCTATTGTTTGAAATGACCTTGCCTATGTCCTTCTTTCCCCACTACACACAGCACCAAGGCCACTGCTAGGAACTATGGATAATTTCCCCTCATCCCAAAAGTTGTTCCCATTTGGAACTCTACCTGCTGGCTGGGGATCTCCACTGGGGACTTGTGTGTCCTACAGGCACTGCAAACTTTACTTTACAGAGAAAACATATGCTTATTTATGAATTCCCTTACCTTCTTAACACCAAGTCTACAAACCTGTCTATATCCACATAACTCCTCCCTCTCACCTATTAAATTACAAAAGGTAGCCCTCAGCCCTCCTCTAACTAAAAGCCAATCTCTCCACGTGTATTTTGTATCTTATTTTCTTTCACCTTCTCCGGAACCTTCCAGGATGTTATTTTTCCACTGTTGTTTCAACTAGATCATCCATTGACATGTAAACATGGCTGGGTATCTGGCCTTTACTGGTAATATAATTGGAAAATCTGATTATGGGTCTCAAATATCCTAAGCCCCGTGTCTCTCCATCTCTGCTAGCTCATGCTTGATTTCATTTTGTGTATAGGCTCTCTCCTCCAGGTGGACAAGATGGCCTCCAGCAGTGCCAGACTCATAATCCTCTGACGTTGGCAACTCCATTGAGGAGGGATGGTCTTTTCAGGTACTCACTGCTTGCTTATTTTATATGTCCATAGTGAATACAGCATAACATAGTGTCCATAAGAAGGGCATAAGCCTTGATAAGCTCAGCCTAAACTATGTTCCTGTGGTGAGACAGGATTTGTGACTGATTGCTCCACAAGGATGACCTCAAGTGGGAGAGTGGTACTTTTTGTAAGAAGCAATGATGACCATTCAAGTTTAGAAGAAAAATAGAGACAATGAATTTTCAGCCTAAAAGTTATATATCAGAGTAATGAAACAGAATCATAACAGTCAATGAAATGTTTCATGTAATTTAGAAAATACTGTGTACTTATTTTTCCATCAATATAATGAAATATATTGTGTAAAAAGCCCCAAACAAACATGGTTAGGTATCTCTGTTTCCCCAATCCCTATGAATTCTATATCCCTTTCCTTACCTCTCTTCAAAGACAAACCTGAAAAAGCTGTTTGAATTTGTCTTTATTGCCTTACCGCAAGCATTTCAGTACAGGTTCCATCATTACCTGAAACTGCTCTCCTTGTTGTCTTCAGTAACCATCCTTGTTGACTACTCTTCTCCATGAAAAACTGCCCCATTAGCTTCATGACAACTCATTCATCTAGTTTTCATCCTACATCTCTGTTCTTTTCAATTCTGGACTTCACATTTCCTGGACTACTACTGCTGCACTCTCACTTATGCCTTTTTCACTGGCAGTTTTATCCATATCCATGAATTCATCTACCATCTCTAGGCCAATTATATCTTTGTTTCTCCTGCCCAGACCTTTACTGGGAGGTACCTCATATTCAGCATATTGAGTGCAGGGTCACCACCTCACCCTGGTTCTCTTCCTTTATATTTCATTTAATGGAAATATATAATTCATCTGGTTATGTAAGTCAGAAATGTAGTCATTATCCTTGAGACCTTCTCTCCTTCTTATCTATTGGGTCGTTGGGGAAGACATGATGCATTTTTGCATTGAAAAATATAGAAAAATACGTCATGACTTTCCCGATGACCCAATACATAAAACCCACCAACCCATATCAACTTTACTTTGTAAATATCGAAGACATCACTTCTGATTTCACTGCTTCACTACTATCTCTAATCTTAATACTGGAAGGCCTCCCTTCTTCCATTCTTGCCACCCTCAAGTCCATTCTCATTATAACAACCCGAGTCATCTTTTCAAAGTACAAATTATAAAATTTTTAAAATGGTCTGGCTCCTCCCAAGTTCAGGATCTCATTCCCACTTCAATTACTCTTCACTGGCTTCCTGCCCTTGGCTAATTCCCAATGTCCTGGGCCTTTTTCCTTGCGTGTGTGTGCTCTGTACACTCCTCATCTAATCTATGGCTTTAATTACCATCTACTTGCGGATGGCTGCCAAATCTGTGTCCAGCTCCCTATACTTTGCATCTTTCTGGGGAAACCTCCTCACTGTTGTCCTCCTAGTTCACACCACCACTGTGGGTCACTACATTTTTTTTCCTGGTCTTCTTGGGTCTCTACAGTGCAACCAGTGAGCTTCCTAAAACATAAACCTGATTAAACTGCTTCCCTGTGGTTACCTAAGCAACTCCTCACTCCCCTCAGGGGGGACACCTCTGGTACTTGGGGCACTTGCCCTGTGCATTACAGGATTCTTAACCTCTGTGCCTACTCCTTCCAACCTCCCCCCACCCCTCATTTCCAACCCCCAAGGGGCAGTTCCTTTCTCCCAGGAGCTGCTGCAGGATGTGCCTGCCCCACCCCCTTCACCTGTGGTATGGTGCTTCCAGCCAGATCCTGATATCCATGGGGGGCTTCCCCAGGCAACCAGTTACTTGTGTTGCCAGCAACCAGTACAGGTCCGAGGGTCAGCTGTTAGTGAATGACTGAAGGAGGAAGTGAGTTCAGGAGAGGACTAAGCTGAGGGACCAGACCTCCCACTTGCCACCTGTCACCATGGTCAGGGCGCGCCCTCTGGCGGCCACAGCCTTCCCCATGCAGGGTGACGAAGAGCTGCAGGGTGTATGAGGTGCCCAGCCAGGGGTCCAGAGGCATTTTCCTGTTTCCAGGCCTCTTGACGCCTCTCCTTTGGACCTCAGCATTGGCTTATGGGACAGTTAGTGCAAGGCAGCAGTTTTGCAAGTCTTGCAGCACCAAGGAGGCAGTCTTTTTGCCTTGGCACCACAGCCCTGCTCCTGTGATGCCATCTCCTGACTCCTCCTCGCCCTTCCACACCACCCACCCAGTGCAGTTCTACTCGTTGAGGGGGCTGCTCACTTCAGCAATGCCCATCTTTAGTGCTGAGGCCTACCTGACATTAGCCCACGAAGGGCTCATTGGCTACAAACAGACAGGAGTTCTCTATTTTCACCTGGCCTCTCAGAATTTTACCATGTAACTTCTTCCTCCATCTTAAAACTCTTTTCTCTCTTGGATTTTAAGACTCTCTTCTGTCTTTTTCTAAGTCATTTTTCTCTGCCTTAAATGTTAGTGCTCCTCAGTCTATCACTACTGATACATTGATGGCTCTCAAATTTCTATCTTCAGTCTAGATTTCCCTGAGTTTCATTCCCATGCATCCAATTACCTTCTGGATGTCGCACAAGTACTTTTAAATAGATCCCAAGTTCAGCTCTTCACCTCTGTCCACCTTTTTCCCTCCTAATTTTCTGGCTAAGAGGCATTCCAATTTGGGAGATATATGTGGGTTCTGGAGTCAATGGAGACCTAGGTTCTAATCCTAGCTCTGCCCAAGCTTTATGATCTTGGGCATGTTAATATCTGAAAACCTGAGTTCCCTGATCTATGAAGCAGGAATATTGGTCACTACATGGCCTTCTCGGGACCCCCATCACCTACAGTAAGTCTCAAGTCCTGGAAGACTGTTAGCTCTGACCTGTGCTTTTGGTTCCTTGAACATACCAGGTATATGGTAAGTGCTGTACTCTGCCTGGACATTCTTTCTTATACTAATTCCCACTTTTCTAACCCAGCAAACTACCTCTCACCTTTCCTTCAGGTTTGAGCTCAGATGACATAATCTCTGGAAAGCTAAGTGAGTTAGATGACCCTCCCCTGAATACAGGAACTGTCTTATCCATCACTCTATTAGCAGCAGCAACATAGGACTTTGAATTACATTTGTGTTGACTAAAGGAAAGAAGCAAAAGACATAAAGATGGTTTCCAAGAGCATGTATTACACAGGTCTGAGTGCAAGAAATGGCAAACAAATGCTATGTTTGCTTTAAAAGCTCATCGGGTGTCAGTGCCAAGTCCTGAAGCTTTTGAGGGCCCCCTGGGTCTTGGCCCCTCTGAAGCAGGCTGGGCCCAGGCTCCTGGGTGAGAGGGCAGCTTCTGCGTGGAACGTTCTGCCTCCTGTCACCTGAGGCGTCAGGCACTTTGGTGATGCCCAGGGCTGGCTGCTCTTTCTCTGTTTGTGCACACTCAGGCTTCCATAGCCAGCTTTGGCTGGGAAGCTCACAAGGTGGATGGGCCAGCGCAGGGGCACTGGGTGGCCATGACTTCCCCTCCTGCCTGGGACACAGGTTCTCAGGGTGAGCTAGAGTTGTGGTTTTCAAACCCTGGGGGCTGACCAGCCCACCTTCCATTGTTGCCTTTCTGCTTGAGAAGGCCTGGTCTGGGTCCTCAATAAGGAATTTCCACAACCATGGGCCTGGCTCTCCAGAGGTGGAGGAAGCAGCGGGGCAACTGGTAGGGATGAGTCCTGAAGGGCTGGGACAAAGTGCTGCTAGTGCCTGGGTGTGGAGGTGCTGGGCCTTTAGGCCGCCTTCAGGGGGGATGGGGTCTGTGGGTCCAGCCCTACCCAGGCTGGAAGCTGGTGTCAAGGAGCTGGCAGCCTCCTCAAAGACTTGTGGGATGCCCAGCCTCCTCTGGGGGACACTAGGGCCTTCCATTCTGAGAGGCTCCAGTGTGATCCCTGTCAATAGGCCTGGGACCACTGGGCCCTGCCTCCTGTGGTCCCTGGGCAAGAAGGCATCTTCTTCCTCACCCTCTCCTCTGAGGGGTGGATCCTGGCCCACTTCTGGGTTAGGTACCAAGCTTGGCTCCTGTACACCTTGGCTGTTCTCAGGCCCCTCATCGGTGTCATCCTCTGAAGAGTCAACTTCACGGATGGCTTCCTGCTTCTGCAGTGACTCTCGCCGTTCAGCCCGGTCCTGTCGGAGGGTGCCCAGGGTCCGTGAGGGAGCAGGCTGTAGCACCCCCTTCCCTGGCAGCGTCCCCTTTCCAGACAGCACACTCCTGGTCCCAACTACCTCCAGAGGGCTGATTTCCCTGGGTGGCAGTTCCTTCTTTAGCTCAGGATAAGGCAGGTCAAGGCTCTGCTTTCGAGAAACGGCTAACTTCTTCTCAGAAGCAGCAAGTGCAGCCGCCAGTTTCTCAGCTGACTGTACCCTCTTAAGTAGTGGTGAGCGGGGTGGCTCCACACTCTTGGGCCGTGAGAGTTGCCTGCCTAGGGGAGGCGACAAGTGAAGCTTGGTGGGGAGGGCCTGGGTTCCATGGCCAGACAGAGGCGATGGGGAGCGCTGGGGTGAAGCAGCTGGCGGTGGAGAAGGGGTGTGCGCCAGTGGTGACAGTGGGATGCTGCCTGCTGACTTGCGCCTTGGAGAGCGATACTGGCGTTGGAGCTTAGGTGCCAGACCGTGCAGGGAGCTGGGCCGTGTGTGCCCAGAGCCGGCTGGAGAGCTGGGCACGCTGGAGCTGGGGGAGCTGCTCTGTGATGAATTCCCTCCCACTTTGTACAAACAGACAGAAAGGCAGAACAATGTTAGCTGTTAGAAGTGACTGAGGGGCAAGGCAGAGATTAGCCCACCAGTGAACCTGAGCCCAGGCTACAGAAATGAAGTCACCCTCCACCCTGTTACCTCCTCCCCAAGACTGCTGGATCTTTCAGGGGGTGGGTTGAAGGAGAGCTTCAGAGTGGGACCAGTGAGAAGCAAAGAGGGCCCCGGCACTTTCCTACCTCCCAGGTGCTGTCTGCCATCTGCAGGGAGCCCTTCCTACCTGAATGCACAGCATCAGGGGTCACCCGGTAGCCCTGCGTGGGAGATCGGGGGGAAAGGCTGTGGCTGTGTGTGGGAGAGCCCGGCCCGCTCTCCCCTGATGACAGTGAGCGGTTAAGGGAAGACAGGCTGCGGCTGGTATGGAGCAGGGTTGCCTGCTTGGTGATCTTCCGGAATAGGGAGCTCCTCTTTTTGCTGCAGAGACACAAGGGTCAAAGGCTGTCTGAGCTGGTGCACTGGGCACAGCATACCCCCCCCCCCACACACACACACACTAGCACCGTACACAGGCGCAGAGCAGACCCTTGGCCTGTCGGGCTCACCTTTCTTGCCCGTCCTTGCCCCGGCCCCGCTTGCTCCTCCGGGCCATCTTGGCCTTGTAGCTGCCTTTCCGAGCTGGCCCCACCTTAATGGATGTGTTCTCCAAGGGAGTTGTTGAAATAGACACCTTGTTTCCACTCTGGGGAACAGAATATGAGCCTAGGCTAAGGCGGTGGCCATATTCTTGCCCCGTCCCTGCCTCTGCCCCTGGGCATGGCTAGACCATGGCTCTACCTTTTGCCCTGCATCAGTGTGTCTTCCCTCTTCACAGGTTAGAAAATGGCTCCAACTAGAGCTCAAGTGGTTTGGGATTGGCAAGGTAGAGAAGAGGCTCACTCCTCCTGGTCTCTACCTAGTTCTACCCACAGCTCAGAAGGATCCCTGGGCCTTGGTCAGTGAGGGTGCTGCCTTCCAGCGAAAACCTATTGTCATGGCCACACCCAAGTTCCATGTGTACATGCATCTGTCCTCAGTGCCACTCCCACTCTCCCCTGGCCAGCCAGACTCCCGAGGCTGCACATCAGCACTGACCTTCAGGATCAGCTCCACCACGTCTGTGTGCACCAGCCCATGCACAGGCTCCCCATTGACGTGAGTGATGAGGTCTCCCTGACGAAGCCCCGCCTCACTGGCTGGACCTCCATCCTCCACATGCTGCACCGGGGAGAGAACAGTCCTCAGCCTGGACCCTGAGCATGACCCCTCAGGGTAATGTGGGCAGGGATGAGGCAGGGACAGACATGCCAAGGGGAAGGCAGAGGAGTGATGAAGATGAGACAACAGATCTGGGGCCAGACATACCCACACCATGTGGTGCACAGTATAGACGTCCGAGTCACCCATGTAGACACGGATGGCCCGCAGGGTGAAGCCATACTTCTTGCCAGCTCGGTGGATGATGATGGGGGGCCTCGCGTTGCCGAGGGCTGGCAAGAAGTCCCTGCTTGGAGAAGAGTCCCTGGATGACGGGTTGGATGACTGGGAATGCGGGGACATGGGGCTGGCCAATGGAGAACAGGTGTGGTGTTCTGCAGAAGGAGAAGCCAGGATTTAGTGGGTCAGGGGACCCTGGCCTGGCCATGCTCCCAGACCAGCCCCCTATCTAGGCTGTGGATCCCACTCGGCTCTAGTCAGAGACAGAGCCCGAGCCTCAGCATGTGTTCCCTACAGCCTTTTGAGCAGCACAGCCCCCTCACACCCAGACCCCAGGAGGTGGTGAGGACTGGCAGCTGGCTTTTACTGAGTGCTTCCTTATAAGCTTTTCATACGTATTTAAATATCACAGTTATCCTATGAGCCACCACTACTAATATCCACATTTTTTTGATGAGGAACTTGAGGGTCAGAGGGGTTAAGCAACTTCTTCAAGGTCAAGAGCCATTTAGTGATGGAGCCAGGATTTGAAAATAAGCTCCGTGCCTCAGAGCCTGCACTTGTTAGATGGTGCTGTTCTGCCTTGGGACACACATACGACCCCAGACACCAATGCACACCTTCAGAGACCTCTAGTCTAACAAAGGGGCAGTAGTAACACCTTCAGAGACCTCTAGTCTAACAAAGGGGCAGTAGTAACAGTCTCTGGTACATGTTTCTCAACATGCAATGCACAGACACACCTGCCCTGTGCAGACCCCTGCCACAGGTGCACAGAGATTCCAAGACCCTTCCTGAGAGATTTATCTTAGTTGCCCAGGGCCTCACCTGCAGGAATGAGGAGGGACAGAGCTGTGGCTGAAGCAGACTTGATCACTTTGTTGATGGGACGAGCGGTGCGCTTTTCTATAGAGTCCCCGGAGAGCAGCCGGTGGCGGGCCCTGCGCACCGCCAGGTCACTGATGGCCTTGGCTGTGGCTCCCTCAGCCAGCTGTGGCATCCCATGGCCTCGCGTCTCCATGGCTGTGGGCCCAAGTGAGCCATGAGACCTGCAATGCAGCTGAGCCTCCCCGCCCCGCCTCCCTGCAGTATCCTTCAGCCTGGGCCTTTTGGCCACCTGCTGGGCCACACCTGGACTGGAACCACTGCTCTGGCTGACAGGCTCTTCATCCAGCTGCAGCTGCCGTTCCACTGGCCGTTCAGGGATAGACCCAGATACCCCTTCTCCAGGTAGAGGTGTCAGAAGCCATGTACCCTCCTGTTGCTGCTTCCTGGGGGTGCTACTAGCCTCCTCAGGGCCCTCAGGGAATCGCGGCGTATCCAGGAGGCCTGAGCAGCGGCGTCGTACTGTCAGTGGAGGGCTTGAGTCACTCTCTGTGTGGGATGACTCAGACACCGACAGCCGCTTCCGCAATCTGTGAGACACAAGGCCTAGGGTGAGACTGTCCAGGTGGTCTCCCCCTCCAGCCCAGGCTTCCTCAGACATTCCTCCAGGAGCCATTCTGTGAAACCCCTCACTGCCACCAGCATGCCCCCAGCATCCGAATCTTGCCCATGATCTGTGACAACTGACGGATGGCTGTGCTGCCCACCCTGGGTGAGCTCTGGGTGCTCACATCTCAGGGGAGCCAATCACCCAGCCCCGGTCTCGGCCCTTCAGCCCTGCCAGGCCATCGGAGGAGCGGTCTTCCTTCTCCTCGCTCAGGCTGCGCTTGGTGGGGGGTGGTGTCCGGCGTTCATCAAGCAGCGAGAGCCGCTCCATGCTACTGGACACCTGTGGGCACAGAAGATGTGCCGGGATGGGCTCCAGCAGACACCGCCCAAGGAGGGAAAGTATCCTTGGCACCTGAACCAGTTCTCCCCTTCCCTCTCTCATGCATACCAGTTGAATCTTCGAGGAAACAGCTATTGTGCTAGTCTGACCTGGCCTCAGCCTTGGCATCGCCTATGTCAAGGCCTGAAGTGCTTCTAGATGTACCTACCCATCCCTTTTCTCCTCTTTTCACCACCTCCCCCAGCCTGGCCCGGGTTGGCCCTTGACAGGTCCTCTTCTCCCAGTCCTCCAGCCTCTCCCACCCGGCCTGGGCCTGCCTCAGTCGTACCTTGCTGAACCTTGGAGAGCAGGAGGAGAACTGGCGGATCTCAAGGCAGCCGTCCTCACTCACGTCCTCCTCATCCTCCGAGTCCATGTGGTGGTATCGATCTGAGCGGGCTAGGTCAGACATACAGGACAGTCCCCTTCTGAGGCCCCCGGTGGTGGCCTCCCTTTGAGCCCCTCAGACCTTAGGAGGGCCTGGAGAAGTTGCTCCCAATGCCAAGTTCAGGGTACACAGGTATTTCCGGGCAAACAGGTGGGAGCCCCACTCCTCTCCGACCCACTGATGGCCTTACTGTCAAAGTAGCTGGTATCATCCTCTGACTCCAGCTGAGGGATAAATTCAGCTTTCTGGCGAAGCAGTCCTGTCCAGTCCAGACCAGTAAAGAACGGATGCTGCTTCACTTCATAGGCACTGCCTGTGGACAGGGAGGGTATGGGCAAGGTGGAGTCCAGGTCAGCGACTCCAGTGAGAACCCAGACCTCGAGAGGCAAGGCCCGGAGGCCTCAGTCCCAGGATTTTCCAAGCTCTTCTGCGCAGAGGGAACAGGATCCAGAGGCACTGCCCACACCTGAAGCCTGAACCTCTCAGTTGCATGAACTCAGCCCGCCCCCAACCTCTGCCAAGCGGTGAGAAAGGTTGGTGAGGACTGTCCTACCTGTACCCAGTCTCTGCAGGGGGTTCTGGTGGAGCAGTTTAGAGGTGAGGTCCTGGGCATCTGGCGGCAGTGCATCATCCCCCTCAGGCCACACAATCTCCTCTGGAGGGTTTTAGGGGGTGAGAGGGAAATGAGCGGGCTGGAGAAGGATCTCAGAAGTTGTCGGCAGAGTGAGATGGCAAAGATGGTCCTCAGATAGGATAAGGGTAAGGAGGCATAGAAGGCCCAGCCTAGAGCCCCTGAAAGCCTGCCTGGGACCCGATTCCTTAAGTTCTATAGTTTCCTGTTCGCCTAAGGGAGGTCTCACACACCATGGCTTGCTCCTTAATCCAGGGTAGGCACTGCAAAGCAGCGACTTCCCTGTCCTGAAGCTCCAGCTCATCCTGCCTTTACACTCCAGACACACGTACACTCACAGGATATGCACATATGGGGACACATGAACAAACAGAACAAGCCCCAGGTGACACACACAGTATGCCTATGCACGCGCACGCACACATCTAAGAGGCAAGCATACCGAATACCCACCATGAACTCAGAACGAGAACTCATGAACCTCACAGGCACATGCAGAAATCGTATTTGGGGATCCAGACTCTGCCTCCCCAGTGGGCCAGGGTGATGGTACCTACCACTGATCACTTGCCCAAACAGCTCCTCCGGAGTGTCTCCAAAGAACGGGACGCAACCCACCAGGAACTCATACAGGATTATGCCCATGGCCCACCAATCCACTGGCTTCCCATATCCCTGACGCAGGATCACCTCGGGCGCAATGTACTCCGGGGTTCCGCATACCTGGGCACAGAGAAGCCAGGCTGGCTCAGCATCCTGAGGCAGTTCATTGGCATGACAGTAAGAGGGGTGAGGCTGTTCCCACCTCTGTGGTAAAAACGTCTCTGAGTGAAGACTCAGCTAACTTTGGTTAAAGAGCAAGATGCACAGGAGTCCCAGGGTACCAGAGTTGGAGCTGTTAGTGGGGTGAGTTTATGTATTTCCTAATTACCCAAAACATCTAAGTCTAGCCTGGAACCACCACTCCCTGATCCCTCAACACCTCCTGACAGCTGGTCCCTATCCCACAATTGGCATCTGCCCCCCCCGGCCTCCCAAAGAACAGACCCTACAGTCACATGACTACTGCGGTAACTTGTGAACAGTCAAAACCTGAAATGTGAAAGCAGAGAACATCCAGAGGCTACTCTCAGGAAGCTGGGCCACAGCCCAGTGGCCATTACAACAGGCTCCAGGAGAGCCTTGCCCTTGACTGAGGTTAGGAGGTTCAGGGCTGATCTCATACCAGCCTCTGAGAGTGTCAGTGGTTATATGACCTGTTTTCTCCAAACCCTGAGGAGGAAGATGATCTTTGGATTTTATATCTATATGATTCTCATGGTCCATCCTGTTTTCCAAATGTGCTCCCTCTCTCAGTGCCTCCTTAGAACCAAAAGGTGAAAAAGATAGGAGCTCCTAGTCCTACAGGGTATGTGACCCCCAGTTCTTATTCTAAGGCCTGGAATTCAACACCCAAAGTCTCAACCATCTTTTCTTACCTGCTTGTCCAGGAACTCCCGGGCATCCTTTTCAATGTGGCCCTCGTACAAGTTTGTTGTGAGACTCATGAGGCCAATTTTAGAAAGGCCAAAGTCAGTGAGCTTGATGTGCCCCATGGATGTAATCAGGAGGCTAGAAAACCAGAGAAACAAAAGGATGGGGTTACTTCCTAGTTTCTAAGAGTGATGATTTTAGTATATGCCAAATTTCCCCACTCAGGCTTTTATGGGCTTACTGTGGGACATAAGCAGGGTAGCTTCAGAAGACAGACAGGCAGCTATGAAAGTTATAATAAATAGCTCTGGCCGTGTGCATTCTGCACAAGCAACTAACCTGCCTTTCGCCCATCCCCCCAACTCATTTCTGTTTATTGCCTTCAACTGTATTCTACAGGGGCAGGTATCAGTCAGCTGAGGAACAGACTTTCTTCCATACAATGATCAGCCTCATCCTATGTCTCTAGTCATTTCCAGTGCCCTCTCCTTACCTGGGTGGCTCACAATACCGACTCGGGGAGAGAGGAAGGGGGCACATACTCTTGTTCCATGTCTACAGTCGGTCTCACAAGAAAGGTTGGTTGGGAGAAACTAGAAATAAGCTCTCATAGAGAACTCTCTCTCTTCCCCCTTCACATTTCATTTTGTGCAAAGGCTGCGCCCTGTGACGCTTTATTCTGTGATTCCCAAATCAGTATCTCTGGCCCTGACTTCTAGAGCTCTGTGCCTATAACTGCCCAGATGTCTTTAAGGCACCACAAACTTAACCTGTCCAAAACAAAGTAATGCCTCCTAACTGGTCCTCGTCTCAGTGAAAAGCAATTTCTGTTCCCTGCTGAGCTCTGTGATAAGTGCTTTATTATTTATAAAAATATTCTGGCTCCTGAAAGGTCATTGAGTAACTAACACAACAAAAGCAGGTATTATTACTACCATTTTAAATAGGAGGCACATGAGGCTCAGAGGTTTAATTCACAGACTTGAGCTCACAGTTCACGAGTGGTCATTTGAACTCAGGTCTGTCTAATGTCAAAGCCACTTTCTGCTACAGAGGCTTATCAGCACACACCAGTTCCAGGCTGGAAATCTGGAAGATATCCCAGACACCTTTGGTGCTCTCACTTCTCTTTGCACCCCCACCCCAACCTTATCATTTCCTTTCTACTCCCCAACACTATCCCCTCTCTTCTCCATCCTGACTCTGTTCTGGTGCAGGCACTGTTTTTGGACTGGTCTACTGCAACAGTCTCACCATCTCTTTTCACTGGCTGAGTGATTTTCCTAAACTAAAACCAAAATCTGGGCATATCATTCTATCACACCTTTGGTTAACAGGCTTTTGAAAGACTCTCTAGGACCCTTTAAAATAAAACCCAAACTTAACAAAAAGGCCCTTGGTGATCTAATCCCTGCCTATCCTCTGGTCTTATCTCTTACTACTCTGAGCAATCAACAATCTCGGCTTGAGCCACACTGTGCTATTTGTAGTTCCTGAATGGGTCATGTTCTCTCATACCTGTGTGCCTTTGCAAATCCCACTCCCCAGATTTAGAAAGCTCCTGTAGTGCCTTCCGAGAAGCAGTCTGTACACAGATATTTCTGTTTCCTACACTAGACTTAGGTTTTACAGGCCAGGGACTATTTTATAGCTCATAATAATAAGCTTGGCACAGAATAGATACCAGTAAATAACAGAACACTTGTTCAGCTATCTATCAGATATGCTGATTCTTTTGTTCCTGCTTGTTTTCTTGAGTGGTGCTCCTCAGTGACTCTTACATGCCACCAAAGCTTTACAATGCCCCTGCCAGACTTGTTGGCAATGGGGTGGTCAGGGTAGATGAAGTCCGAGGCCTAGATGGATCCCACATGAGCACTGTTTCCCAGCAGCCACTGTTTCCTAGTAGAGATTCAAACAGGCTATGTCTGCCTCCATTTATCTAGAGACTCTAGAGGGAGACCCTGGACAAGGGACACAGATAGTGGGCGTACTTGTCAGGCTTGAGGTCACGGTGCACGATGCCATAGTTGTGTAAATACTCCAGGGCGAGCACAGTTTCCGCAAAGTACAGACGCACCATGTCCACAGGCAGGGCCCCGATGTTCTTTAGCAGCGTGGCACAGTCTCCTCCTGCGACAAGGCCAGGTCACATGAAGGAAGGGTCCAGTTCCCTGCTCTAGATGATCCCAAGCTTATAGTCTGTGAGGCCCCAGAGGAGCCGGCCTCATGGAAGACCCTGGTGCTAGAGACTGATTCTAGCCTGTGTTGTTGGCCCAGGTGAGGAGAGCAGCAGGAGGTAAGGTGAATGGCTGTCTAGGCCACTGTTCAGGCCAGAGTGGGAAGCAACCCAGGGCTCTATGCCTGTAAGCTGACTTGTAGGGATAGGACTAAGTCATTTTAGGATGGGAATCCTGTATACTGCAAACACACCTGGCTGAGACTTCAGTATTGTTCATTTATTTCCTTCCTACGGCTGACCTTTAGTTTTTCAGTGAAGTGACATTGTAATCTCCAGCAAACACCTACTAATGAAGTTCTGTTCAGCTTTCCCTTCAAGACCGAGACAGAGTATCTTTGGGAGCTCTACACAGCAATGAGCGGGGCAGAGGGAGGGCCACTAGCCACGCTGCTGCCACTCTCCAGAACTGTGCTCCCTGAGGACCTTCTGCTCCACTCCCCAGAGCATTTTGTGTGGCCTTAGGTGGGGTCTCCTTCACAAGCCATCAGCCAGGGCAGTGGCTTTCCTTCCTTCCATGGGCCCAGGTGAAATCCTCCCAGCATCCAACCCCGGGCTTCTGTGGCTCTGCTACCTCCTTGTTCCTGCCTGGCGCCAGCAGTAGAGACTGCAGGCCTAGGGGTGCAGGGTTCCATAGCTTGCCAGGCTGATACATCCTGTCCCACAGTTGCCTCTCACTGCACCTGACATGGGCAGCCTCATGGCAGCACCTGCTTGCACACGCCTCTTCCTGTGAGGGGCAGGGAGTCTTGTGCCCACCACAGCCAAATGGATCGCTGAGATCCTAAGGCAGAAACCAACGTCGAAGACTGGGACGCTGGGCCCTGAACTTCACGCCTATACAAAGCTGCTGGTCCCAGCTCAGGGCTAAGTCTCAGATTGTGCTGGGGCCTCCATGCCAGGCCCCCACCTTTCCATCAGTACCTTCAACATACTCCATCACCATGCAGAGGTGGCGCTTGGTCTCAAAGGAGCAGTACATGCTGACCACAAAGGGGTTCTCGGCAAAAGTCAGTATGTCGCGCTCCACGAAGGCCTGCTGGATTTGGTTCCGCAGGATCAGATTCTGCTTGTTGATCTTCTTCATGGCAAAGCGCTGCCGGGTAGACTTGTGCCGCACCAGGAATACAGCCCTGGGAAACACAGCGCATCCCGGCCCATGGACCCTCAGCGCCACCACCCAGAGCTGGGGCAGCCCAACTGCCCCCCTCGCGCCTTATAAATGCACAGAACAGGGAGCAGGGGTGTGCTTATTAATAGGAATGATCTGGGCCCCTGTCCACTGAGTTCCTCAATTTCCTGATATAGTAAGTCCTGAGGACACAGCTCAACCATTCCCTAGAGCTCAGCGAAATGAGTGCTACCAAGAGGATTGGCAATCGCCTGGGAAAGGAACAATACTCAGATGTCAGAGGAAACTGCACTGTTGACTCGCTAGGGGATTTTGGGGCAGGAGACGGTCCATCCTGGCATCTACTGCCCAGATAATTGGGCATCATGTATTTTAGAAGGAAGAGTCCAAGGGCTGACTTAGAGCCAGTCCAGGCCACACCCTGACCCCTGCCTTTACCCATAGGCGCCATTGCTGATGAGCTTAATGGTTTCGAAGTCCTCTTCACAGGGTGTCTTTTTAGATGTCAGCGATGCCCCACGGCCCTGGAAGGCAAGGGAAAAGGCAGGAAGCAAGCATGCTTCTCAGAGCCCATATGCTTAGGGAAGCGGTGGCCCCAGCATCAGCTTAGCTCTTAGCTTTGCTGCAGGCTCCTGCCCCTTCTTCCCCAGGAGCTGAATGACTTCTCAGGCAGTGTATGCGCCAACCCCCTCCCCACCCGCCGCCTCCTTCAAGAGAACTCACAGCCTTTTGCTTCACAGGACTCAGGATCTTTACCTCGACTGAATCGTCGGTCTCTGGAGTATCAGGACTGTCATAGCTGCTCAACTGGGCCATTTCTAGAAACAAAGCAAGGACACAGAAGAAATGTGTATGTGGCACTGTCAGGCATCTCAGCAGTCCACTCATATCACATGACAGGTGCATGTAGGACAGGCGTTAATGCTTTCTGGATCAGTCTGGGATGCAAATCTGGTCCTGTGCCTCTATCCTCTGTAGTCACAGCTTTTGGACTTGTTTGCCAAATAATATTGCCACTCCTATTTCTAGAAATCCAGTGTCACTTATAAGGCCTGGCAAATTCTATAAAGCTTCCCTCAAACTTGGGACAATTCCTGGAAAACAGGGCCCCAAACTGGACTATCAGTCCAGTTGGCCAAGACTTGGCTTTGCCGGATGGGGCTGGGCAGCATGGAAGCAGGAAAGGGTAAACCAAGAATGGGGAAGCCCACGGTCCACGCACTGGCTGAGTGTGAAGACCCGAAGAATGGAGACCATCTTCTGTAAACCTGAGTTGGGACACAGGACTTGGAAGGTGCAGCAGGAGAGGCAAGCATGCAGAGATGACCATGTTTGAAAATGTGATTGTGGTCCTTTTGTTGAGTTTTTTTGACCTTAGGCTCTAAATCCAATCCAGCGGGGCCCAAGGCAATCCAGATCAGGTTATGTCAGGCAGATGTGAACAATTCCAAAGGAGGGGCTGTTTTATGACAGAAGACAGAGTTCCTCCTATAGCCCTGAGGCCCCCGACATTGTGCCATGTCCATGTCCAATCTAAGCCTCTTCTCCAGGGGTTTCCCTGCTCTTAAGAGCTTGGTAGCCTCTTTGCAGCCACCAGGTAGCATGCTCACCCTCTAGGGGATCCCGTGTGAGGCCCAGTTGGCTAACGATGTAGCGGGGAATGTCACATTTAATCCCTTGTCCCTCTTTGGCATGGCCCTCAGCTGCTTCTAACAGGTGGTAGAACTCTTCAGGGTCAAACTCCTGTATAGGGGAGAGAGGTAGTCAGTGGAGAAAGCTACAAGTGGAGGCGGTTTGCCTCTCTGAGTTTACAGCATATGCCCAGCACAGGATGAAGAAGACTTTCCCTTTTGGGATGGGTCACCCCCTACACCCTTGAATACCCAGAAACATGATTCAGGGACCACGCAAATGGGGACAAAGCTGTCTTACAGGTCACCTCCAGATTGGACAACCTAGGCATAAGCTGTCTTCCCAGCAACAAGAACCAGAGCTTTTGCTTTCAAAACAGCTCAGCCTCTTCACCTGGTCCAAAGCCTTCTACCAGCCGGATGGTACTGGCAGGCGTGTTAACACACCCAGTCTGCAGGAGCAGTCCTGGCACACTCTAATTTATGGCTCACAGGCCAGGTGGTGCACGCATGCCTTCAGCTATTTACTGAGCATCTCCTGTGTGCTAGGGGCTGGAGAGCCAAGTGGATCAGAGCACAGCAGTCCTTGTCTGCAGAGAATAATGAGGGTCCCATAGACTGAGTGCCTACTAAGTGTCACAATCTGGGCTAAAACCCTGCTAACACCCCTGTGATGTTGGTGAGGAAATGAAGGCTCACAGAGATATACTGGTTTGTCCATGGTCACAGAGGTAGGAAGGAACTGAAAATCAGCATTCAAAACCTGGTCTGACTGCAACCCCTGTGAAACCATGGACTTCACGTTCTTAAGGGAGGCTCTCTGCTTCACCAGCACCCCGGCCTCTACCGCTTGCTTCTGCTCTGCCCTCACTCTTTTGGAGAACTATACTGCTATCTATCTGGATATAATCTAAGCCAGACCTGGAAGTCCTTTTAACTTTATATTCTTCCTCTTAACTGCATATCAGAATGTCTACCTCATAAATCCCCGTTCTCTATTTTCCTACCACTGTCCCAGTTCAGGCTGCTCCTGTCTCTCCCATGAATTGCTTTAAGTGACCCTGCCCAGATTTCCCTGGCTTATCCTGCCCTCTCTTCCAGGTCACTATCTATGTTGCAGCCAGAGGAATCTTACAGTAAATCTGATGGAATATTACTCAGAAATAAATAGGAGCCAATTACTGATCCATGCAACCACACACGTGAATCTTAAAAAAATTATGCTGGAAGAAGTCAGAACATACTATATGATTTCATTTATATAAAACTGTACAAAAGGCAAACTTATCCATAGTGAAAGAGAGCAGATAAGTGGCTGCCTGAGAGTGGGAAGAGAAAGGGACTGACTGTAAAGGGGCACGGGGAACTTTCTGAGGTGAAAGAAATGTTCTCTATCTCAACTGTGGCAGTGATTACACAGTGAAAACTCACTGACCTGCAGACTCAAAACAGATATGTTTTATTGTATGTAAATTACACCTTAAGAAACTTGGTTTAAGAAAGTAAATCTGACTATCACATTCTTACCGCAACTTCAGATGGCTTAAAGTAGCCTTAAGGATAAATGACTCCTGAGCCAATAGCCCAACACTCCGTGACCTTGCCTTGGCCTACCTTCCAGGTTAATCCCTCACCAACTCTTCAAACATACCCAGTGCTCCACTAGTTCCCTTTCCCATGCCCCTTGCCTCGCAAACACTTAATCATTCTTCAAGTTGCTGGGAAAGCTTTAGGCCCCCAGGGGCTTTCACTGAACATCCATCCTAAGGAAGACTGGAGCACTTCCTTCGCCATGTTTCCATGTGCTCACCTCAGTTGCAATACATCTTGCAATACCATAATTATTATTTACATGTCTCTAGGGCCTTATATCTAGGACACTAAAAGACGACCTTTAACTCTACTACAGAGGAAGCATCTTAGGATCAGGGACTCGACTATCTCCAGTGTCTAGCATGAAGGTGCTGGGTAACGTGTTGCTGAATGATTAAATGAAGGACTCAACTTGAGCAAACAAAACTAGCCTGCGCTTCCCATTCCTAACCCGGGGCCTGCTCAGTGTGGGGGTGGGCCAGACTAATACCTCTCCCTGCCATACCCCACAGGACCATCCAATTTTCCTCACAGGAACTCACTTGGTCCCCCAATGTTTGCACATCATATTTAAACGAAGACTTCAGTAGCAGAAATGGAACAGGGTGCCACCAGTTTTGCTGTCAGAATACATCCTTTATCTCCGCGCCCCCACCCTACCCCCCCAACTTTCTCAGAGTCCACTCACCAGGCATTCCAGGAGACGAGCTGGGCGCGCAATGACAATCATCAGCTTTTTCACCAGCTGCATTACAAAAGCCACTTCGGAACTCTCTGAGCGCTCATGAGCCTGTAGAGAAGGCAGAGGTTGCTTAAGTCATCCAGTGGCCCAGCGTGGTTGAGGCAAGGACTGAGCTGGGCAGAGCTACTACAGGGATAAATAATTTGGTGGTACGGAGAGCTCTGCTGAGTGAAGAACTGAGAAAGGCCAGAGGGCTCTGAGAGGGAGAAGGCTGTTTATCAGGATACACGTGAGCATTAGAACACTACATGACACCAAGGAATGTCACACAGACACACCGCCTTACCTGGTCCTCCATCCAACAAGCTTCGCTTCCCTCCAGACCCCAGCCTAAGGGACAGCTCTCAGTGGAGCCTTCACTGATGTTCACTTTCTACCCCAAACAGACTGTCAGGAACAGAAAAGACCTCCAAACAGAAGAGTGATGTGACCAGACAGGTGTTTCAGAAAGACCCCTCGGGCTGGCGTGTGCATGGTGCACTAAAGAGGACAAGCCTAAGAGCGGGGAAATCCATCCTCAGACTATTGCAATAGTGTAGATGGAAATGGCATAAATCCAGGAAGTAAGAACGGAAAGAAACGGACTGGGGCCATTCCATCTACTATCTCATAGGTAGATGACTGAATAGACCTGAGAGTGGAAGAAGCAGGAACAGAAAGTAACTGCAACTACAATTTTAAGGAAATTTTAAGTGAACCCATAGATGATGAAATGGGAAATATAAGATGATAAGCAGTTTAGGTGAGGATAGGTAGAGAACATGTTACATTTGATTTTAGAGAAAAAGCAGGTAGGTGGGAAAGATAAGTTCTGTTTTGTACTTAAATGGTTTGTGATACCTATACAGGTACTTTCTTGGGTATCTGCTTAGCCCAGGAGCCTTTCTCTTTTTTATGAAACTGCTCTGACTTCTAGGAGCCACATTTGTATTGTGTGGTTTTCTCCCCCCTCCAACAACTGACCAGTATGGATTACTTTCCTAGGAAGTTAAAAATGGATGGAAGGACAACTGTCACTATCAGTGTGGCAGAACCATGTAATCTACTCTTGGGTGAAAAAGGATAGCCTTATCTACCACAGAGACAGAGAAATAAAAGCACAGAGAAGGACAGAGATGAGAGAAGAAAATGAATGCTTACTGGGCTTTCCCCAGGTTCTGGTCCCTTTCTAAGGCCTGGCTGCGTTTTTGTCTTCAATTCTTTAAGACCCACCCGCTTTACAATTAGTTTCCCTTTCCTGCTTGAACTACCTTGAGTTGGCTTTCTATTACTTGCCACTGAAGAATGCTGACCAATCTGGGGAGTCAAAGTGGAAGAGTCCAATAGCAGCTGGGAACACTGATCTACAGCCCAAAAGAATAGGGAGAGAAGCAGCCACAGATGGAGTCCTGGGCACATGGATGTCAACAGAAAACATGGAGTGGGAGGGTGTGAAGAAAGGAGAAACAGAAGGGATACTCAGGATGGTGCCCGTGGAATACCAGCATTTAAGAGATGGGCAGAGAATGAACTTGTGAGAACACGGTCATGAAAACCAGGGGAGAAAAAAAGATCAAGGAGAGGTATTCATTGTGTAAACTTCTGTAGAGAGGGGAAGATAGATGAGAATTGCAAGAGGCCATAGGATTTGGCAGTCAGCCAATCAGTTCCTTGGTTATTTTTGCCTGAAACATTTCTAGTGAAATGGTGGGAAGGGAAAGTAGAAGGCAGAAGACTGAGTAGTGAATAGGTTGTAAGGAAAGAAAAATAGCAAATGACGATCATTAAAAAAAAGTTGGTTATAAAATAAAGAGAGGGGCTGGGTACTTGGTGAAATCTCGTTAATTCTTTTAAGGCTTAGCCCAAATATCAATTCTGTGAAGCAGCATCTAAGTCCTTTGCCCCCCGCCCCACAAGAACAAGATGTAACTGCTCTCTCTTCTATGTTCTCCTAGCTGTTTCCCTGTTTGTCCATACCACATGGTACTATCATGTCATTTTATAATTAGTTGTCTGTCTCTACAGCTACACTGTAGGGCCTTGTGAATAGATAGGCTGTGTCTTTCTTTTTTCCTTCCCTCACATGCTAAGCCTAGCATAGTGCCTCTTACATAGCCAATGTTAGTCAATGTTTGTTGACTAAGTGTTTGAAAATGTTTGATCTTAGGTCTGGAATAAGACAAACTTGGGCTCTAGCTCTGCTACTTAAGAAATGAGTTACCTTGGGCTTCTTTGAACTTCGGTTTCTTCATCTGTAGATTTAGGGAATAAAAACAATACTTTCCTTCCAGTGTTGTCGTGAAGATTAAATTAGATAAATTAAATGAGATAATGTAGTGTCTAGCATGTCTTTATTATTTTTAAAGTAAATCTTATCATGCCACTTTTCATTTTAAAACCATTCAGTGATTCCCCAATGCCTTCATTATAAAACCCAAGTCCTCACAAGGCCTTTCAATTTCTGTTCCTCCCAGCTCTTTAGATTCATCTAACAACTTTCCCCTGCAGGTATTCTTCACTCTGGTCCTGCCAAAACACTTGATATGCGATTCCTGGGATGTACCCACTTCCTTACACCTCGGAGAGGTTGCTTACACGGTTTCCTAGGTCTACTGAACTCCCACCTACTCATCAAGACTCAACTTTTCCTGAACTCTCCGTGTGGCGTCACTACATCCTCCTCTGTGCTCCATTTGGTGCTCACCCATCACACTTACTATAATAAACACAAGTGAGACAGTTCACATGAAGCACTCAGGGTAGTGGCTGGCACACAGTACACGTCAATAATGAAGCTGTTATTTTTACTGTAAGTATGTGTTAGTGGGCCTGCAACCCCAGTCACCAGCAAATGCCTTGAGCTACAAGCTGCACTGAACTTTCTGGTGCATTCCCAGGGCCCAGCACATCAGGGAACAGATGAATGCACTGGCTTCATATTCAGTGCTCTTCCTTCTGCACCAAATAACCGACCCCCAAGGAGCAATGAGTGTGGGAAGGTGCCTGAAGGTTAGGCAGGGCTCTACTTCAGCATTTCAGAAGATCACCTTTACATGTATGAGCAACCTTGGAAGTCGCTCTACATTGGTCCTGTACCTGAGGTTGCAATCCCTGATTTCTATCCACTGTTGGAGAACTGTTAGAAGGTTGAATAGAAACAGCTTCCAGTAATTTTCATGAGACTTTATATAATACTCATACATATTTATATAATGTTTGAATTTAAGCATGCTTTTGAAATCTGAAAAAACCATTTTTGTAGAAGGAAATACTTTTTCATCTACTTTCTCACTGTAACTCTTGCCCACTGGGCTAGTATTATGCCTTTTAGAGGATAGAGAACAATCTTCTATCTATTACATATGAGAAATCTCCCAATATTTGACTGCAATAATCATGATCACCTTTAGTCATCCTTTCTCTAGATTCATCTGTTTCCTATATTAAAACAAACAAAAAAATTCCCTGCTCCTAATTTCTAGCTAATACCCTGAAGTCCTGTTTGACCATTTAGCCCTGAGTTCTCAGCTCAGTTGGTACTACACCAGTGCGAGGTCATGGGTCTGGAGGTAATAGGGGTCTGGACTGGGAAATACTCTAGTGACATGAAAAGCCCCGAGGACACAGGCACATCTCTTCTCCCCTAAACTGTACTAATGGTGTACCATGGGGCAGCTGTGATCTGAGCGGGAAGGCATCTGCCCACCTTACTGGAGGGGCCGATGCAAGCAAGCACCAGAGCATGGAGCAGTGGTGAGGAACTCGGTGCCTGCTCGGCTCTGGACTATCTCTAGGAGGTTGGTTACCTTTAGCCTCCCAGAGACTTTCACACTGGGGAGGATGTGGTCTCTAAACCTTAGGTCCTCACTAGAGAACTTCTCACATGCAAATAGAATGTCAGCAAACAGATCAACCCATAGTGCCAGCCTCGGGCCTGCTTTCCCTTGGCTGACGAGAAAGTCTGAAGGCTTCACTTACACCAGTATCTCTACTACAAGAGCCCATCACGGCCACAGGGCCACTTTTTGCTTTGGGTTACGAATCTCCTAGTCAGATATTCATAAATACTACCAATGTTGGCGCCTCAGGCAGGGGAGTTAGAATTAGAAGATGAAAGACACACAGAACTGAGTTCTTCGGACACTAAATAGGCTTCCTCAGTAATGCAGGGGACTGAGGAGGAACCTAAGCCCATCAGTACCACACTTGGGGGTGGGCTCTGCACACTAGCAAGGAGGCGGCAAGCAGGCTGAGGAGACCACGATCATCATTAACGCCTGAGCCTTACTTAGCTCAGGACATAACATAGTAACATAGTGATTTCCTAGCTGTTTGTTCTGTTCCTCTTCCTTGCTCTTATTCTCCAAGGCTGGACAGCACAGACCACTACTGCATGGAGGGTTCACCAGAGTTTCAGCATACGGACACTCACATCTTGCAGAAGTTTCTCTAAATTCTCTTGAAGTTCGTAGAAGTACTGTGATGTAATGAGGCCACTCCGAGATTTATCCAGGCAGTCTCGGGCCATCTCAATCACCTGATGATGAATAAAACTCAAGGCTCCATCTGCCAAGGGCAACACGCTGTCTGGAGTGTTGGAGGAAATGAACTCTGCTAGGCGCTCTTCCATCTGTGCAGTTGCCTGGGAATAAAAGCAGGAAAAGTGACACTTCTAGTTGCAGCTCAGCTGGAGTGAAGCCTTAAGGACCTGGTAATAGCCTAAGGATGATGGCCTCTGTGATCCTGGATTCCTGATGTTGCACTGGGGAACCTGATGACTGGAGACGTGAAAAGATCACCTTCAAGTCAAGTCAAAACATTATAATCAAGGCCCTCTCACCTGGCTTTGTCTATCTCCCCCTGCTTCTTGAAGGGCACGCTTTTTTGCTCTAAGGATACTAAAGTGTTTGTTGTTCTCTTCATTTATTAGGCTGTTTCATGCCTCTGTCTGTTTATGCTGTTCCCTGAATGTAGCTTTTCCACCCTGCCAAGCCTGCCTGGCAAACTCCCATTACTCCTTCTGATCTCATTTTAAGCATCATCTATCTCTCTTCTGGGAAGTCTTTGGGCAAAAGGGTTTCCTTTTCTTGCTTCCACTGGACCTCCCAACTGTATTAGCCTAGTGTATGGACACTGATGGTTTCTAAACCTTCTTCTGGACTGGAAACTTCTTCAAGTCAGAGAGTTTGATTTATCACTTGACCTTAGAACCCAAGTGAGCTAAGCAGATGCTCAGAGAGTGTTTATTGAAGGTGTGAGCCTGCCTGCTCACAGACCTGGATCCCCAGCAGAGCAGAATGGGACTCTGGCTCAGAAACTTCTTGGGGACCTAACTGCACAGTCATGTCAAAATGACAAATAGACATCAGTTAAGCTCCTAGCTGCCTATCTAGGACTTGGCCTTTTCTCCTTTGCCACCAGGGGGCGATTTCTGATTTGCAGTGTGTGTTATACATACACATATATTACACACATATATATGGTGTATGGTGTTTGTGTGTGGCAAGAGAGAGAAGGGAGTTGGGGAGGGGAGAGGAAATGGAAGGGATTTTAGCACATTTTCTCTAACAAAATAGCTCATTTTATGTGAATGACTTGGAGACATTCAAATAAAACAAAACATGCAATATTAGAATGACGATACAATACCAAATATGTGAGGAGGAGGAGGAGGAAACATGTGAGATGCATTTCTAAACACTCCCAAACTTCTTTATAAAGGACCAAGCACAACAAAGTGATTTCCTAGCTGTTTGTTTTGCCCCTCTTTCTTGCTCTTATTCTCCAAGGCTCTGGACAGCACAGAACACAGGGCAGCAGAGAAATAATAGCTAACACTAACTGAGTGCTTATTATGTCCTGGACACAGTTAGAAAAGTTTACTGTTCATTTATCTTCACAAACTCCCTATGAGACACTCTTATTCTAAATTATAAGTAAGGCAAATAAAGCTCAGAGAAGTTAAACACTCTGCCCGGGGTCACAGAGCTAGTAAATGGTAGAAAGAGATTTGAACCCAGTCTTTCTGGTTCCAGAATCTGTGCTCTTCCTTACTGCTGCGCGTCACTGTGAAGGTCAAGAGGGAAAGCACATGGCTTCACACGATTTCCCTAGGCCACCCATGTGTGTCCAGGAGGCTGGTCCTGAGTCTAGAGAAAAGAATACTCTGTACAGGAGCAGGGAACCACATCCTGCACACACCCGATACAGGTGGCCAGGTAGACCCAGGGAGGTCTACACAGGGGATGAAGAAAGAGGCTGAGGACTGCATGCTTCCTGTTGTCATGGGAAGGGAGCCTACATCATCAGTCCCCTGGTTCCCTCAGAGCTGGCTGTGTTCTACAGGAACAGGGCCTATCATTAGCAGGCCAGGTCAGAGTGACAGGCATATGGTATTCAAAAAGAAATGCAAATGGGAAGCAAGGTCCTAGTGCCACATACCAGGAGGTTTATGACCAAACTGCAGAGTTGTGAAGACTATTTCTCAACTATCTTAGGACAGTAACCAACCTTCCTCCCTGAGCATTTTCCGGCTTGAAAACAAATCCCAATGTGAGTAAGCAACTCTGAGATCTGCCTCCCACCTTGCTGTTCCCTCTGGCCAACTTCCTGCCACTCCGGCGTACTTCTGTCTGTGTACGCTCTGGTGCCCAGTAATGGGGTGCTGCTTAAGAAATCTGCATGGAGGGCCGGCCGAGTGGCGTGTTGGTTAAGAGCTGGCTTGGGATGCCAGCTCTGAGCAGCAGGGCCCCGGTTCGGATCCCACAGGAGGGCCAGTGACACTGCCCTCTACAGCTAAGAT